CTCTCTTTCGCTAAAAAAAAAATTAAAAAGAATTGACGAGATATTCGCCCTCCCCGGTACGGCCCTCCACGGCCTGCTGCACTGGCCTGGACTGGTCAACCGCCAGGCCGCCCCCGGCATGCCTCTCCCGCCGGTGCAATTTTATTTCTTTTTTCCCCCCAAAGAGGCTGAATTTATGTCCCCTGTCCTCCGGGACATCCGTTGAAATTGGAACGATACAGAGAAGGTAGGTTAGCATGGTCCCCTGTGCAAGGATGACAAGCATGAAACGAGAAATAGTCAGCTCAGTTGGTAAGGCGTTCAAGCGGCACTCAGGAGGTCGTGGGTTCGGTCGTGGGTTCAACTCCCATTGCCCCACGATAGTGCCTGTGGCATGCTTGGCGTCTTACCTTCGAGATGGTCAGTTGGTAAGCAAGTACATTTAGCTCAGTGGGAAGAGCTCCGATGTCGCAATAGGGAGGTTGCAGGTTCAACTTTGTCGGCCTGGAATTTTCCCTGAGCACAATTGGTTGGTGTAGGTTGCACCCCATGTACTTGTCCCGAGCCTGGCGTGGCGTCCTTACAGATTAATGACCTCAATAGCTCAGTGGGTAGAGCTCTCATATTGTAACTTGGAGGCGCCGAGTTCAACTCCATACTATGCTCATTCATCATAATATCAGCTAGGGATGGTCCTCTGGACGGAGTCGGGTGGAGACGTGTACCTTTCCTGCAGGAAAGTTGATGTGGGATGATGCTACTCTCTCGGGCAGGTGAGTAGTAAGGGGTTGGTTGGGGTTGGTTGGGTGCATGGTGATACCGTGGCAGTCCTATGGCGGGCAGGGTTGCCTTGTAGGGAAACTAATGTAGAATCAAGAGGTGTGTCCTCTCCATGTCTATAGACCCATTCTGGGGTGGTGCATCCACACAGACTATGATATCACACTAGCTCACATAACAACCAGCATACTCATCAACCAACAGTAGCCATATATGATCCGAGCTCAGCGAGCTGTGCCAGGTTGGTGCTTAGAGGGGCTCGTAGGTTTACCTTGGTTAGCTGACCATTAGACACTGCCTATGAGTGCCCTCACTGCTCACCAGACTAGTAGAGAACTATGAGCCTAGCTCCCGAGGTTCCTTGTAAGTGCTTCAACTGGGGCTGAATGGGCTGAATGGGGAAGCTCATTCAGCGTCAGTGCCCGCATCCGCTGTCTGGTCAGGTTGCTCCAGTAGAGAGTGATGTTCCTCGCATGAGGTAAGATAAAAATGGAGTG